TGAGATTTATGCTTTACCAGACGTGTTTTCAAACAGTATTTTTCACTTTTACAAGAGGAAAGACTTCGATAATACAGACTATCTGGTTGGTTTGTTAAATGTACGTCTGGTTAACTGCGCCACCTCCGTTAAAGAGCAGCCTACAACCTCTTGCCTTTACTACAGGAGACAGTTTCATGGCAACAGGGACGAATAAACGACATGTTTAATTAGACGGGTACTCTTACTGGACGACTTTTGAAGGGTCTCCGTGTTTTCTATACAGAAGAGCCGGGCATGTTTGTGCTCGAAGTCCAGCTGAATGACTGAAGAGGGACACGTTAGCATTACCCCTGTGCCTTGAAATCTGTAAAAGAGCAGCGACGGAGCTCCTTCTGCAGACTGTCCGGCTCCTCAGACAGACTGTGTACAGTGGCAGCCACATCGCGACACGGGAGTTGACTTTAAAATACAAAGACAACACTACTGCTCAGCAGCATTTGTCATTTGAAGTGTGAGTTTTGACAGCACTGCTCCTGCTGCGCGGCCATATTGGTTGTGTCATTGGGAATATAAACAGAGAACAGCGCCCCTGGTGGATAAACGTGGAGGCTCGCTGCACCGTGGTTGAATTTCACGGGGTTGGCAGTCAGAGAAAAGAGGAACTGATAGTTTTCAATGGCATTTCACTTCACGTCTATAGCACGTCACACCCCGTGTACGTTTCCTTTTGAGTCATAGGCAACAAAAATGTCCTCAAATGAGGATGTATAGGACACAAAATGTGGTGGCCTGTAATCATGCTTCTGTACTGTACACCGTTGTGGCACTTTTACTGTACATATGCTTTCACCTCACTACTTTTCAGAAGTTAGTAGTAAGAGGCAATGCAAAGGTAGGTTTGTTTGTATAGCACATTTCCACGTGAAATAAAGTGTGAAATGTGTGTGTATGAAATGTAAAAGCATCATAAGGCAATATATAAAAAGTCAGATAATACTCAAAACCTAAAATCTGATTTAATAAAAAGCAGTGGCAAACAGAAAAGTCTTCAGCCTCAATTTAAAAGAACTGCGTTGCAGCAGACCTGCAGTTTTCTGAGAGTTTGTTTGATATGTTGTACCAGTTTGGGAGTAAGAGGGAGTAAGTAAGAGATGTTTTCTTGCTGCCTTGTACTGGGAGGGTGGACTCATTTCTCTTTTTGTCTGTAGTCAGATTACCAGGAACAAGGGTGACAAGGATGCTTTCTTTTTGTAACTTTAAGTCTCCTGGGGAACATATTACAAAATGGTTTCAGTTTCATAATGCACAAAGTTTCCACCACTTCCAGGAATTTGCTGACAATTGATGAAGCGCTTTTCCGATTAATCTATTTGCCTGTCAGAATCGTAGGGAATTTTCTGCTGATTGACTAATATATTGTACATCTATTTAAAAGTTATACCAGTTATCTTAAATTAACATATCACTATTGAGCATTTTATGACTTGCTGTAGAATAAACTTCACACCACTATATAAGTAATAGTTAAAATTAACTCCATGACCAGGTACACCGTTAAAATGCCGTGTACCGATTTCTAAGAACTACTTTATAAATGGTTTTATTAATATTTTAAAAAATGATTAAGACTTTATAGATTAATCATAAACCATTAAAAGGTTAAATATATGGATTACAAACTATTGCAATCCTATAGAGCCATGATGCATAAGTACTTTTACTTTTGATACTACATTACACCTTGCTAATATTATGCACAATGTACTTCAGTAAGATTTTGAATGCATGACTTTTAGTTGTAATGTTAATTGTCGATCTTTGTTGTAAGAGTAGGAAGGAAAAAAAGAGACACATGAATATTGACATATTTACTAGGAAATGGAGCAGATCTTTACATATAGCAACATAATCACAGTAATACTTTGAAAAGCCTACATGCTGCTCATCATTGACAAACTAGCCATTAAATCAAGATAAGATAGATCAAGATAGTTGTAGTTTTATGGCAGTCAACATTGATACATTCATCAGTAATAAATGCACATTTTTTTGGAAGTTGTTATTTATCTGATAAGACACAAAATCACAAATTAAATGGCTGATGGTCACAAACAAGATGTACCATGAAAAGCCAACTGTGATACAGAATGCTTTGATGTGCTTCAAATATTACCCTGAGCACATAGTCTTACAGGTCCTTGGATTTTCAAGGTGTATCTAACCCATCTAATACCCGACAATCATATCACAAATAACACACAACCGAGGGGGTCAAACAGGTTTGTTGCAATCAGAATGTCTTCCATGGACTTAAGTTTCCAAATGATACTTTGAAAACATCACTAAGTACAGCAGAATATTGCAAACATTACAATACAACACACAACTGTCATTCAACCTTTATCTAAATAGTGGGTGTCGGAATCCAATTAAGAGTTGGACAGATGAGGTAAGTTAGTGGTTTCAGGGATTGTAAAGAAAGTTACACACAGAGATTGCTAACAAATTCATCCGTGTGTCCCTTTTTTAAAATGGAGAGAAAGGAAAATGTTCAGGTTAGAGGATACACTGGCACTGCAATCATAAAGTGGTGAATTAAACATAAAAGTACACAGAAAAGGAAACCATTCTATCTAATCAGAGCACTTACTTAAACAATCTTTGTATCCTTTTAAACCCTGAGTGGAATTATCAAAACAGTGTTTGCTTCTGCAACCTTTAAACTTGGAAAACTTATATAAAACACCACCTAATGGCAGAGTGTGAAATGATATTTGAGTATTAAGTCATCAATGACACATTCTTTTTGTCATAAGCACTGATAGTCTGAAACACCAAGTATCGGCCATGTGTTAAGATGAGACAACCCCGGATTATATACTACTAGCCCCAGTCCCTTTAACATTTAATATTCTACTACATCCCCATCTACAACGATTATAGAGGAAAAAATACAATAATAGTGGAACATTTTCTTCATATCATATCATGGCAAAATGGTTCAAAGAGGAGAAAATATAAAGAACATCATCGCATTCGGGTGCATGGAAAGTTAACAAAGTATAAGAATCAAAATGCTTGTGAATCTCAATCTTAACCGTTTCACATCATTTGTAATCATTGCTTTTTTTTGGCCACAATCAGTATTTTTAAGTAAAAAGAGAAAGCAAAAAGAGAGGCTTTCTTGTCCTATGCTTCACATCATGCGGATGAGTATTCAGTCCCTGCTTTGTCTTGAATAAACACTCCTCGACTCCTTCCAATCAATCTGAAGTATTCCCTGAGTTTTCAGATTGGTAATTCCTGAGATGAGCCTAAGAGTGGAGGTACTTTTTTTTTTCCAACCAGCAATCAACTGTATGTAGTATATGAAAATCTTAAAAAATATAATACTGAATATGAAACATATATTCAAAGGATTAAACTGAATATAAAAGACAATTAATGCATCTTACACATGATTAGTGCAGAGTAACATTGCATTGGTTTTGACATAGATAGGAATAACAATGGGACTCATTGTGCACAAAAATAAAGAATAAAAAAAATCATACAAGGCAAAGAAATAAAAAAAAAAGTCACAGTTTATGTCAGTCCTCATAATACTATGTACCTGTACAGTATATAGTGTATTGTCACTCTTGTGTCGCAGTGTTACACTGCATTCATAACTGCAATGAATTATTGTTAAGGACAATGACAATGATTTATCAAGCACATATGTACACATTAATACAAGTACCTTGATGTTAAAAGTATGTTACCCAAATATATTCTCAAGTCATATGGAGCTTTGAATGACACTTGGCTGGTTTTTTAATGTATACTATTCATTGCTGAGAGGCTTCAACAGGAGCAGAGGGAGAAGCGGCAGCACTCTTTGATGAAAATAAATAAGTAGTAGGATTTCTTTTAAAGGCTTTAGAATAATTTTACATATATATTAATTGGGTGTAAAAGTCTTGTCAGCTTCTCCTGTAAAACGGGAGTAAAAATGCTGATTAGCTAGCTAGTTCTACATGCTCCTCCGTGCAGGCTTGGTGTTCCTGAATTGGGGAGGCAATGTCTTAAATAACTACCTAGAAATAGATCACGCTGGATATAAACAGAAACATCAGCCATCCCACTGGCAACATCATGGCTGATTCTGCCTCATTTTATTCAAGTATCAAGAGGAGAGCTAGCTGGATCCCTCAGTAACCCAGTCCAGGTCATGTAACGTATTAGAAGATGATGTACGTGTACTGGGTTTAGTATTACATTACATTGGTTGGAATTCTATCAAATCCAAGTTGAGGTAATCATAAAGCAACAGTATTTTACACAGCAGCCAATAAAATGAGAATCTACTGTAGATGCAAAGTTGACTAAGATCATGCTGCCAGCTTCCAGAGAAGCTAAAGAGAAACTTCCAGAGAAACTAAAGAGAAACTCAGCACCAGGCTCAAAAAGCTGGGTTTTGCTGCCCTCTCTAGTTGAGATCACTACTACACTCTAATAATCTGGTTTTCCCCGCCAAAAAGTAGTGACATGTTTTTCCGCGTGCTGAGCAGCTGTGATGTAGAGTGGAGATATAATACCACGCTACGTCGCACACCCAAGTACAACAGACCACATCTGTCCACATCCAGCTGTGATGTTGGGTGTGAGCGAATGACAATGCTGTGTAAATACTGTAGTGCAATAAGGATTTGATTTAACCCCAATTAAAATCACAAACTCCATAGCTGTATTCTGAGAATATTTGGTTTACCATCAGGGGTTAGAATGACGGTTTTAGTAGCAGACCAAACATGTACCATTAAGGTCGACCGTGCACCTTTTGACAGCCAGCAAAACGCTGGTTGAAAATAATTAATTAATAAAAATAACTCTGACCAAAAGCTGGAAACCACTTCTGGTCTGACATTCATTTGGCCCCAGGATTACTGGATGGTCAATTGCAATATTGGCAGTTGCCAATCCATTGCCATTAGTTATACCCTAAAACCCATCCCATGTGTTTTCACAAACCCTCCCATTCCCCATGCCATATGCAAACATTCATTACAGAGGTACTAATTGTCACGTCTCTGCCTTGTCGGGTAGTGAGGTGTAACAGTCAGGAAGAAGACTTAAAAAGGTAAGGCAGCAAAAGTGTAGCTCTATACTAAACATACTGACTGAGTATTACGCAAAAACAGAAGAGGAATAATGCCCACTGGAGAGGAACAGTATCGCATAAAAGAAAACACAGATTCTACAAAAAACTCATCAAGGTAATCCGTTATATGGCATTGCTCACTACAATCGCAAACCCGTCAAAGAACAACGGTGATTCAAACATTTCCAAAGCGTCCTGAGTGCAATAATACAGCAGTATTCCTGAGTGTTACACCAAATGAAAACAAACAAAAACTTCAGCAACATTCTTCATCATAAGCAATTTTTTTTTAACCTGAGGTAGTTCCAAAAGCAGCTTCAACAGGTGGAAGAGGACCGTGTGTCCCATCTCTCCATCAAAGCAGTTTGATTGGCCTCTGTGCTTCCCCGGCGTCAGTGTAGCCCAATTTCCGGTTTAATCAGAGGTCTCGGGAGGCAGTGCCAAGTGGCTGTGCTCCTCCTCGTCTCCTTTCGAGGGGGACGGTTTTCCCTGAGAACCCGGCGAGGACTGTTGTGCTTTGATTGGGCAGTTGGCAACCATGTGGTCAATGCTCTGGCAGAAATGGCACTTCTTGGGCTGGGGTGGTAACTTGCACTCTTTGGCGTGGTGGTCCAGGCCTCCACAGTTGTAGCACCTATAAGAGCAGAGAGCATTTAGACACATGTTATGTATGCCTACTTCTTAGCAAACAGTTGCTTATTTACACATCCAGCAGAGAAACATTACTACTCATTTGGATGTTTCTGATGTTTGGATGTTTGAGCTCGCTAGTTTTTGATCCCTCCTGAGGGAAAAACCTGGCTTTTTAGCTGCTGAACACTGTGTTCACCAGCCACCCAGTCCCTTTGTTTGTCTGCTGTTTGGTGCGGAATAGGTAGCAGATTTGGCCAGAAAACCAAAACAACGAGCTGACAGATGCTAAAAAGAACTGAGGGAAGGCCATTTTTACATACAGGCAACCCTGTGATCCATAATATGTAAGCACTGATAATAGCTGCTTTAAAGATCCTCTGCAGACTGGCTTCCAAACTAGTCGTGATGCCACAAAACCATGCTCGTAGATTCATATCTTAAACTTAGAAATCACAGAAAAAATTTCCTCCTTTAGCAGATTCATGTGTAAACAGCCCATTAAAGTAAAACTCTGCACTGCACAGTGAAGAAAACATCCAAATGAACAATAACCCAAGCACATTTTTGAGTGGAGATGCACCTGTTTGCCACTAGAGGGCAACATTTCACCTGGAATGACCTGAGTTTGCATTTGGTCATAAATCTTGCAAGGGCAATCCAGGTCACACCGCATTGCTGTTTGGAGGAGGAGATCTCAAAATGTCATGTCATGTAAGATGGCCAAAAATTACAACCAAAATGTATCCAAACAGGAGTTTCTGGAAGGTTTAACTACTCAAGTGGACAACAAAATTGCAGAAGAAAAGAATTATGTGGGAGGCTCCTAGTTTTTCATATACATGATATGGGTACCGTGGCTCATCTCGAGGTATCGTGAACAGCTTGACCTATTTGTCAGTTTGTCACCACCAAAAGCTTCCAGTTGGACTCTTTTGTATCATCGGCATTGAACTTTAGAAATGAACACCATGAAGGGCCAGCAGGAGCCATCAGGGGTGCCATTGGCCACCTCTGTTCAAACATTATCTATAGAATGGCCACGCGTGCAGGGGCGGAAGACAGATGGGTGGTGGGCGTGGGGCGATCAGCCTTTGCCACTGCGGACCCCCTGCCAACATTGTAGCAGCAGATGAGGTTTGGACAGGGCGGCCGCCGAGGGGTCGGTGTGGCTTTGTGATGGTGGCCATTGGGGTGGTGTCAAGGTCTATACTGTCACATCACAGGAGCTCTCTACATTAGCATCCATCAGGAGGCAAGTGGAGGAAAGGGGAAGTGGTCCCTTTGTCTAAAAAAGCTGCAGTAATGACCTCTGAACCCTGCCCTCCGCTCCTCAGTTCTCTAACCCCCAATCCCATCCCAGCCCCCAGCTCACTTGCATTTACTCATACACTGTTGCCATGACAACAGTGACCTTTCACCCCCTTGCTTGGGCTCTTACATCTGTTATCAATTAAATGGACAGGAGCTTTTTTCCCCACCCTCAGTCACACACACACACACACACACACCAACACACACACACAGCCACACACACACACACACTCACAAAGGTGGTCTATAAAAGGTAGAGTGAAAAACAGCTGTTCACCTTGGTGGCAAAGCATGAACCCAGAACGGGAATAAAACGTCTTTCCCCTGTCCTGATGATATCTGACTATTGGTTATAAATATGATCGATCAATCATAAAACTACCAATGAAACACCATCCAGTGTTGCATAATGAAATACGCTAGAGGCGAATGATATCTTATCAATGGATCAGTGTGGTCTAGGGAGAGTTATTGAACCACAGCGGGCCTCCCAGGACTCTTTGAGGTGGTAATGATCTCTGTTCTCACACGGACTACTCTCTGGTTCTAATCACAACTGACAGGAGGGTGAAGTTGATACACCTCTAACCCCATGCTATATTGCTATTCAAAGAATTACCCAAAAATCAAGGCCCTGTTGGAGGGGAGGAGGAGGGACATTGTTGCCTTTGCATGAAACATTTTCGTGAATAAAATATACATCAGCAGATTGATCATTAAGTTTTTTTGCTTTTTACATGACTTGAACTCATAAGAATATTTCTCAAGGATCATGTGCTGGTTCAGAACAAATGGGGGGAAAATCCCTTTTGCAGTAATGAGGAATGACAGTGGGTGTGAATTCACTAGGGGCTTCCAGATTTAAACAGTTATTGATCCAGGTCACACGTCAAGCCTGCTGGTGTGACCCTTGCTAGGGCTGGAGGTGGGGGTTGGGGTCATGGAAGAGGAAGGAAAATGGGGAGAATCACCATTGTATATTTGATCCAAACTGGACACAACAACATCTATTTGTGGACTGCTGAGAAATAAAGCTTTCAAGGGTCCCTAACATAAAAATGCATAATCTGCTGCTGCCCAATGAAAACCAGCAATCTCCATTTTCTTTTTTTTTTTGTTGCATAAACTAAAAATTTATGCGTTTCCAGTTTTCAAAAACTCTAACAAATCTTAAGCTAAATAAACCATTTGGATCTAAAAAATGCATTCTCACAAAGCTAATAACTCAACATATTTTTATTTATTTATAAAATTGATGTTCGGGAGATGAAGGGTCTTCACTGGACAGTAACAATGTATGCGTTGTTACATATACTATGGTTTTCTATAGCTTTTTGGTCAAATGCCATGTCTTTAAAAGTGGTGCTTTGTGTGGACTCCTCTGCATGTTTTAGTGTTTGAACTTAAACATCTTCTGGTATTGATACCAGATAATTTGCATCCAATGTAGTTGAGAGGCAGTACTGTGTGTGCCATTACACAGAATCTCACAGGCAATGAAATTATACACTATACTAATTTTCACAGTTTCACTAACATACTTCAGAATACCCTCTTCACAAGAAACAAACATTGTAAATATCTTTCCTGTTCTTTCCCAGTCCCTTCCTGCTTACCTATCTCCCTTTGAACGTCGCTTCTGGACCTTCTTGCCTTTGGGTCTCCTTTCACTACCCACACAGTGGATGCCACCTGGTCCGGTAACTCGCTGCGACTCCAGGCCCTTTGATGACTTCTTGAAGGTAAACTCGACCGCCTCGCCTTCCTTCAGGCTGCGGAAGCCTTCCATGTGCAACTTGCTCTGAAAGGCAACATAGGAAGATGATTCAGTTTTTAAATTATTGTTTCGTGTTTGGGGAAACTCCAGTTTTATGGTGACTTAAGCCCTAATAGGTACGACAGGAAGAGTCAAACCACAAAGGGATGAATGAATGTTCAGCCTTCTCTCAATCACAGACATACAGCAGGGTGGGATATATAATAGTGATAATTAGATTTTTCAGAACCTGCTATATTACACAACCAGTGACAAAATCACCTTCGCATTGAGCCTTTGGATACTTTGACCCTTGAGAACAACCCCCCACCCATTCTTCACTGTTTGATAGCATCACAGCATGTTAGCACTTATCAGGTATCTGGTATTTTAAGGTGATCATTATGCCTCACTTGATAAGCAAACGAGCACTACGAAGCTTGCTGTTCCCACTCTACCCATCAGTTTGTACACATACTGCCCTGCATGAAAGGCACCCATGCCTTAAGGCTGCTTTGTCTTTTTGCTGTGTTTGAGTGGTAAATCTGACAAGGATAAACTTCAACCCCCCCCCCTCCGGAGGAACAGCATTCCACACTGCTGACCCCACCCCATCCCTCTTCCCACCCACATTACAAAGCTCCACTAACACACTGACCACCACCACTAACCCTGAACTGCAGGATGCAGGGGTTAGTACTACGGTTGGGGGTGGGGTGAGAAGGCAGCGTGGCTTCTCTGGGAGGTTGGGGGTCAGGGTGACATTCCTTGGATAGTTGTTTGGCAGAAAGACGTGGAAGATAAAAGTTGAGTGAAAGCACAAATGATTGATATCTCCCTTTGATATCTGTGTTTGAATATGTGACATCTTTTTTTTGTGAACAAAACATGATGATTTCAATTAGTAGCGTGTTTCATGAACAGCAACACTGAAGAGGCGTGCTAGCTTTATTAATCAACAATGGAGCAACAATGGTACTGGAGGTTCGAATATGCTCAGAATAAACACTAACTTAGTCTCCTGTTAAACTCAATATTGACCTTTAAGGAGGTTCTTCTTTATGATACCAGTGACTTGCCAGAAACATTTGATTACACAGAACAGAAAGATGAAGGAAGGAAAGGTGTGGTGCGGATAAAACCCAGAGATGTCTAACACAACATGGGAAAACCCTCTCTAAAATTCCCTTTGGTGGGACTGGATTAACTATAGCAGACTGTTGACATAGAAAGAAAGAGCCATGATGTAGCAGGTTTGTTATGATAGACATTAATCCTGTTCTCTTTCATTTTTGAGTAAAATCACAACCCTCTGTTAATTATGAACAACAGTGTTCATTTTCCTAAACCACCAGGGATCAAACTGAGCTTCTCAAAGCTCAGTCTGGGGTGTGCTTTAAATAAAATCTAACAGGATCCTCCAGAATCCTTTAGGACAGGTTATCATTTAAAAAGCGTAAATCTCAGATTAAATCAATCAACAAGGAACTTGGAATCATTACAAACACAGCCTATTGTTTAGTGAGCTAACACACCAGCGACGCCTTCTGCAGCGAAACCAAAACAAAACATAACAAAAGCACCATCTTCGCTAATCCTGTCACATCCACTCACAGCTGAGCATCTGCTACAAAGTCCTGCTCAGCGAGGACACACGATTGGTGAGCCATGACATTTAAGTGGAAACCTGGATGTCCAGAGAGCCCCAATCCCATCAGGCTTCTCTGTCCTGGTGACCGTTAACCCACTTCCTCTTCCATGTGTGACCTTCCCCACCCCCATAACGGACCCTCAGCAGCTACATGCCCCACATCAGGTTATCTGTACCCACACAGGTACACATGAGGATGGGGGGCTTTAGACTTCAAGGACCTGATTTTTGAGGCCTTATTAGTGGGGTCTACTGTAAACTGTCCAGAATGTGTCTAGAAGCCAAGTGAGGCAGAGAAAGACATCAGAGCAGTGAGGGACAATAGCAGGGCTGCTGCTGAGACAAAGAGGGGCTCGGTCACGGCGAGGGGTGCTTCATTCGGATGCATGGCTCTATTGTCCACCTGCACAAAGGCCAGAGGACCCGGGGAGTTAATTTTCCTTGACACACAGCCACTAATTTTAGGGCTGAGGCCTTTTACATTGCCATATCCCCTATACATCCATCATTGACATGCGTGCGTCTACCTTCTCTAGTGACAGAGAGGGAAGTAAGTCATTGGTTACGCATTTCTTATGGATAAACTGAGAGCCCAGTGTGAGGTTACAGGTTTAGTAAAGCAGCGAGCATTGCAACTTTTCGCTTTGTTAGAGCTTAGTATCTAAAGCAATAATGAACTTGTTTTCAAGACATAAAGACACGGTTTTGGACACTGGATTGGACTTTTTTTCAAGCTGCAAGGCAGTTGGGCAACACACCGCTATTAAAACCACCCATTCCTTTCCATTTTCTTTTAATTCTCTGTATCTACTGGAGCAACAAACTGTAGGTTTCAATCCTCAGTTGAACTCACGTTCACATTTGCAATATGATTAATCAGGTACCAACTTCCTGTGTATAGTCAAACAACATTTCGTTTACAACGGCTGCACAGAACAATGGGATCTCTCTATATGCATCATCATAAGCAGAAGGCAACTGAAAAACAGAAACGAGTAAGAGCTGCTTGAGTCTGCAAACTGGCTCTAACCAAGCGTGGAGGCTTTAGGCTGACTTTATATGGATGTATTGATAGCAAATAAAGTTAAATCATGAATGGAATGAATTGCATGAATTGCATGAGGCCTGAGTGTTGGCGGAGTGGTGTGCTGAGAGCTCCTTTCCTCTTTCCTCACTCTCTCTAGTGCCACAGAGGGGGTTGAGCAGACAGCAAAGAGCCTTTAATCACTTTATGACAGGAACCTTGAGGTGAATGAGCAGCTAGTGGGGACTCCTCTCATTCACATGCTAAGCCTTTATCTTATCAGACAGCAATGGAGGCGCTCACTCACATGAGAAGTAAGAGGGAAACGCACCCCCCACCGCCCCAGTTGTATATGCAAAGGTGAACGAAGGTTTGTGGTCAAAGCTGGGTGAGCTGAGAAGGTTTCTTTTAATCTCTACAGTAATGGGCAGAAAGAAACAATGAAACCTTGAGCAAAGAATGACACTGTTTGATTAAAGGAAGCCAATTTTCACAGCCTTCAGAAGAACATACTCAAGGCAATCTTGCATAAATATATGTCAAGTGATTGGGTTGTATTACGCCTATAAAAGCCATAAAAGGCAAAATCATGAATTGTACCTGAAACAGATGTTTAAAAGCATATTCTAACCTTTAAAATAAGTGATCAATAACCCTTGTTTAGATGGTTTGCCCATTCATGCAGGTCAATCCATAACCCCAAACCTTTTAAAATCATTTTAAAAGCTTCCCTTTTGTAAACAGATGCAATGATTAACGACTAAATGTGACATCCACTCATCATATCCCAAACAAACAAAACATTAAATAGCTATAATGTCAGCCTATGAAAACGTGTGTGTCTTTATTTCTACATCACATTGTGTCAGCGTCTCTCATACAATAACCACGAGGGAGGCCTGCAGATCTCTTTGGGCTGCAACACGTGTTCCTCTGAGGGAGAAACACCCACCGACCACACTGCACATACACCCATCCAAACCAGTTAAAACACATCGCTTATTATCTTAACTTTAATATCCAAAAGGCCTGCAGATGCAATGTTGGGTTTGTTGTTTTAAATGCATTTATACAATTATATATATTTTTTAATTTTAATTATAAGGTAATGAGTCATTTCTGCCTAGTTTCGACTAGGCTGAAATTAATTAAGCCGTATTGGAAACAGGTGGGGCGATCGCACAGAAATTCCACTCGATTCAAGAAAAGTAGGTTTTCAGAGCTGGGAGTGTTGATGGACTACTTTTGGAGTCTTATTCGCGTTTGGATGTGAGATTTTTTTTTTTTTTTTAAATTTACTGCGTCGATAGTTTCAGTTTCAGCCCCCCGAGCAGAAAGCAATCCTACCTGATGGACAAACACATCAACCGGTTCGTCCAGTGGCACTCCCTCTCGGTGGGTCATGGACAGGAACCCGAAGCCCATGCGGACGTTGAACCATTTACACAATCCGACCCCGTGGAAAGACTGTGAATCCTCCTCGGTGCTCGGTCCTTCATCCTCCTCGGTCTTACACACTCCTGCAATGAGAAGTGTATGTAATTACAACAAAATGTCTAAAACAATCTGTATATAATGTAGAAAATGCGAGGGTGTTTTTTATTTTTTATTTTTTTTAAAAGCATATTATATCCAAAATGGTAAGATTTAAAAACTTTTATCCTCCTCCTCTCGCGTTGCTGCATCATCAATCAATATGAATCAATGAGGAGAACACAACAGCAACAAGACGAGGCTGTATTTCTGTTAAATCCCGCATAACATCACAACTCACTTCGTAAAAGCAGCTGAACAACATGCGACTTATTTTGCGCAAACTTTGCACACAAAAAAAGTGATCGCGGACGTTGCCTGATGTCAGAATTTCTAAAGAGCGATTAATGCATTGATGGACACGGATTCCACATCACGTGTGGTGAACAATGCCTTTGAAAATGTTCCATTAAAATCGGATAGACAGTCCACCAGAAGACAACTTAATTAAAGCATTTTGTAGAGGAGATGAAGAGAGAGGGGAGAAAAAAAAAAGCCAAATGCAGCTTATTTAGTTACTCAACCTGGGAATTCCTGGTTAGAAACGGAGCCCATGTCTTCAGTTCTGCCTTGAGTCAAAATTAGCACCCAAGCTACAGTATCCTTTTTTTTTTTCTTTTTCTTTAGCCCTCAAACTGGGTAATCCTCACAGATTGCCACTTTCATGCAAAATGCAGTGAAAAGCAGAAACTGCGCAGCGAGTGGGGAAAGCGGGAGAGGGAGGTAAACAAAAGGGGGCTGGCAACCTATTCCCCCTAAACAATGAGGGGTGAGGAGGGGGGGTGGGGGTCAACGGGCAGAATTTCTCTTGAAGAACCCCCCCCCCCCCA